TTATAAAAAAAATTCCTCATTTTTATATTATCAAAATTTAAACTTAACACCTTCAAACCTCTTAATTGAAACCTTCCCTTGCCGTATTAAAGGCTATGATATGTCCAGAGGTCCCAAAACAAAACAAAACAAAAAATCTATGATATAACTTGATTACCATTTCTTTTTTTTCTTTTTTTTTCCCCCTCTCTTCACTTATTCTATTCACATTTTTATACTATTTAAATTTAAAATATTTTACTTTTTTTTTAATATAAGAAAATTATTACTAAACTATTATAGATAGTTAGTACTTCACTACGAAACCTTTAAGTCAGAGTTAACTACTAATTAATTGCTAATATTACTTAACTAGTGATTATCTCGTAAAAAAATCAAGAAACCTGGTGATTATCTGCTAATTGGAAGAATTAAGAGGCCAAAACTTGGGAAGTGACCATGTGAATTTGGACGCATCCGTCATTTCTAGAACGAGAAAGTGGTGCACCTTTTTGGGGATGCGCTTATCGCTATCGCACGAGATTTTGTTAGTGTTTTATAAATTTTATTAAACTTTAAGCATACCCCATCTTACAAGACCTAAATATATGGGCCTCTTTAATCAAAGAGACACTTGAGCTTGTAGTAGTACTCTTTTGCCTAAGTGCAGCTTTTAAATAATAAGTTTTGTTCGTGAATTTTTTTTTATCTAAAAATAAATTAAAGGTTTTTTTTTTTTTTTTTAAAGTTTGTTTGACTCTTTTTTAAAGATGAAATGAATCTTACAAATTTCCTAAAGAAAATTAACTCACTCAATTTTAACTTTTCCCAACAGACTTTTTTTCAAAATGCTCCTAGGTCTTTTCCAACAGACATGAGTATAAATTGAGAGCAGGTGGAGGCAAAATTCACTGCATTAGGTATATTCTCTCAATTGTGCTTTGTGCACTTCACACTTATTAATAAACATATGCCACTATCTCTTGCAAAAACAGGTGAACCCTACTCTATAGAATTGCTCTCAATCTTCTTGAAAGGGATGTCTCTAGGTAGTATGATTTTATCGAAATAGCTTTAAGCATGTGAAAAAAACAATTTTTCTTTCCTTCTTCTTTTTTTTTTTTCCTCCTTTTAATATGAGCAAACTATGGATGTCTCTAGGTAGATAGATGTTAGTTTGGCTAATTTTATCAATTTATAATTTTTTTTCTTAAAGTAACTGGTTAGAGTGTTTTAAAATATCAATTTAGATACTAATTTCAAAGTAATATTAAATGTTTCATTAAGTATTAGTGAATAGTTACAGATGTTTATAGTTATCAATTATTATTAATAGTTAAATCAAATAGAGTCATGTATTTTTATTGAAAATGGAATCTTTGTTAAATAAAATAATAAAATTTTTATTAAATTTCATATTATCTTATAATTAATGCCTATAGTGTAGGGTGAACATAGGAAGATATCTATATGTTGATTTCTGATTTCTGTTTTTGGCCTTATTGGGAGTCATTTGAATGGTAAAGAGCCTCAATTGATTAACAACTTGATATTTCAATTTGAAAACTTTAAATTCTAATCTTGAATTGAATAGGAAGGGTTTTGAAAGAACGAAAATGGTTATCTCTTGTTGTTTGGATGCACAAGGAAAAAAAAAAACTAGAAGGAGTTTTCATCATGGAAAATACTGGACTGTCTAAAAAGCTGTTAAATAAATACTGGGCCTGACAACAATACAACCATGCAATAACTCGAAAGGGACTCATTGGGCCACAATAATACTGGACTGGACTGGGTCTGAACAGTGATAAAAACCCTAATAGGCGTTTGTTTGTGAGTTTAGCAAAGAAAAACCTTAATTAATCGTGTCCGCCGACCCAGGATATTCCTATTCTCGAATTACAATCCCTCGACGACGTTTGGCTCAGACCTCAGAGGCAACAACCCGAACCCGAACTCCCACATGCCGGGTCCATCACCCAAACAAACAGGGCGAAGCCGCCCCCCGGACCTTAGGGCATACTGTAGTTCCTTTGTGGGCCGTTGTTTGTTTCTCACGAAAGAGAAAGAAAAAAAATTCTCCTGATTTTTCCATACCTTCTTTGGAAGGCAAAGACTGGATTCTTGTGTAGATTATTAGTATAAAGTCTAACTAATCTTATTTTCCCAGACGCCTCCCAAATTTTCTCGAGAAAATTTCGGTCTCCTGTAATGGCTAGTAGGAAGCTGGTTCGCGATTTGTTACTTGCAAGACGGTCCCTTTGTCTTCAGTTACAATCTCAACAGGTAGGTGCGATGAAAGCTGAAGATTTTTTGAAGTTGTGTTTTAGGGTCGGCAGATGCTACAGTAGTGTAAAAGAATAGATTTTTCTTTGCTAATTGTTTAAATTGGTGTTTGTTGGAATTTGTTGGTAGGGTTCAAATGTGAGATTGAGATTCCTATCTGCGAATGCGAATCGGTACTCGGGTAATCGTAGATTCAGCGTGTTCAATGAGTTCTCCCAGAAAGTTAAGGGCGAGGCCAAAAGGTATTATGATTTTAAATCTATGTCTCGTAATATGATATGTTGTTGCTGTGAACTGAAGCATATGGTGCATGTAATCTCAAAAGCTTAGAGCTTTTGCATCTGTTTTCAGCTAAAATTATAGTGTCTGGTCCTTAACCTCCTGCCCCTGAAATTTTGAATAAGGGTTCCTAGGATGCCAAAAAAAAAAACTTTGCTTTCTTGCTCTGCTGCTGCTACACTGATGACTTCTGTTTTCTTATTTTTTGGAGTTCATATGTGTTTCATTGCATTACATTTGTTGTGGGAATAATATTATGCCTTGTGAATTCCTTGGTTGCAGCAATCCAGAATTTCAGAAATCTGTGAAGGAGCTTAAAGAGAAAGCAGACGAGCTTAAAGGGATCAGAGAAGACCTGAAAGTTAGGTAATATATGTGTAATGTAGTTGTGTTTCTTTAATAATGTTAGCATTATTAGGTAATAGGCTGAGACATACCGTTGTATGTCAAGGGAGGGCCTGAGATGGTCAAATGGCGTGCAGAACGAAGCAGACAACAGAGCAGCTCTACAAGCACGTGGATGGCGCGTGGTCGGAGGCTGAAGCTACAGCTAAAAAGGTCAGTTTTAATTTTTCTCTTGTAATTATCCAAGTTGTAAACTTTTAATTACCTACTTTTCTGAACTAATTGTGTTAATTTGTATTGTTTTATTTTTTGCTTTTCTTAATAGCACTTCCCATATGTGTGCAGATTCATGGGAATGTTCGTGTTCCATACATGGATTTTGGTGTGTTTGTGTGTGTGAAATAGTTTGTAATCCAGCTTAGGTTAACCAGCTTGCCTTTAAAATGAAATTGGTCTGGTATATATGCACCCGTTTATCATTAGTATTCCCACACATTAGCTCCAGTATTTTCCTATTTGCTTTGGTCCTATCTGAGATAGTTTGTTAGACTCTGCTTTTGGCAACCTAGATTTTTCCTATTTGCATATATCTGGTATCTGGTTAATCATCAGCAATATTCTCACTTTTATGGTATGTGTGTGTCTTCTTAATTTTATTATTGATTGTTTCTTTGACTAATCCTATGTCCCAAAGGTGGTGCAGGCCGGTGGGTTTTTTGTGTATCATTGCAAATCTTACTTTGATTATGTAATTTTTGTATGTTTGGTTCCTCTAGATGGTACTGTTGCATTACAGTCTAAAGAAACCAGCTTTATGCTGATAATGTTGGAATTTTATTTAATTGGTGATTATGCACTCTCTCTAGGTTTCCACCAACATGAAAGAGAGAATCTCTGCTGCTACAGAGGAGGTCTGATTGCTATTCAGATTGTTGGTGTTTTAAATCTCCATTAGCCTTTTATAATCAGTTATTTTATTTTATTAGGTTAAGGAAACTTTCGGGATCGGGAAACAAGACTCTTCAGAGTCTAGTAGTGCTTCATCTGAGAATGGGGCTGGCACAGATGATGGAGATAAGGCATCATCTAGGGAAGAGGAGCAAAAACAGTCTGGCTCTACTGATACTGCTGAAACTTTGTTTGGAAAAATTAAGACTAGCATTTCTTCTCCTAAGATCTTCCAAAAGTTGAGGGAAGTAAAGGTCATTGACTTAGCAAAGAAGGGGTATGATGTTGTTAAGGATGAGTTAAGCAGTACTCCAAATAAGAGAAAGCACCTGGAGTATACTCCTCCCCCGTCAATGGGTGAAAGAAGTGCCAGAACTGATATTGTTGTTTTACCCTCACGGCAATCCCGCTGGAGTAAAAAGTGGGAGGCCTTTAAGGAGAAGGTAAATGTATCAGTAACATCAGTTTGCAAGAAACATCATAAAATGAAAAAGTAAAAAAGTTTCAACTTGTACTTTTCTTTTTTCCATTTTTAATAATGGTTCTCTTTCATCTCCTTAGATGCAAGGTAATCCCTTATTCAAGCGTGCTAGTGGGCTTAGTGAACCAGTTGTGACGAAGGGCCAAGAGGTATGTTCCTATTCTGTACTATTCTCATTTTTCAATTTTTAGTCCTTTTGTTTATTTTTATTTATTCCCAAATAGGATTTTTTTTTTTTTTCACTTCTTATTTATATGTAAAAGCTCAGTTTACATGGATAGTCATGGCCATAAGATGCTAGGGTTTATAAATCCTAGTTCAGGCTATATTTGAGGTTTGCTCTAGAAAACTGAGACAAAGATAAGCATGTGATAGCTGAACATATTGTATAGTGCTTAAAAAAAAAAAAAAAAATGGCAACCGTTTTGAAATTTTCTTGGAACTAAAGTTGTTCATGGTGGTGAACTGAAGGTTCATTGCTTTTTAACCAACTTTGCTAACTGAGAAACCTTAATTTCTAGAATGTGACCTTAACTTTGTATGTTGGCATTAAATTCTAGTATTCTACCAAGATAACATTTGCTTTCCAGGTGTAAAGAAAATGATAGTTTCCTGCATTTCTTTGATGTTATTTACTTACATTATGACTATGAATTTTGTGGTTCCATGCTCATATTACCTTGCTTGGTACTTTGAACCATGGCATCCTCCCTGCTGCAGGTATACTGGTAGCCATTGGGCGCGGGACACCATAAGCCAATCTCACGTTATTTAGCTTTAATGCTTTGATCTTAATATAATCTAGTTTGCTTCACTTTCTCTTTTTGATTCCCTGGGGTTCATTTCCAGTAGTAGGCTATTTTTTTGTGTTTTAGTATACAACAAATGCTGTGGATATCATTGTTCCTCAGATGAGTAATGTCCCCATATTTGTGTTCTATTCTAACGAACATTTAATAACTTAGTCTTAATGCTTATATATAACTAAGAATTTGTAATTCTATTAAGTACACTTTCCAATTTGAACATTTATTTTGTCTGGGTTGGATTGGCAGATTGCAGAGGATATGCGAGAGAGATGGGAGACCAGTGACAACCCCATTGTTCACAAAATTCAAGAGTATGCTACTGGTTCTTAAATTTTTCCCCTTGCTCTGCTCATAATTTAAACCCCACCCCAACCTGTGTCCAGTAAACCTGATACTTTGATTGCTGATTTCATGATTTTCCTTATGACAGCATCAATGAGAGTATCTTTCAAGAAACGGATGCCGCAACATCATTCAAAGAAATACACCGTCGGGATCCGTATGATCTTATATTCTTTTCTCTTTTTTTTTTTTTGGCTTCTGAATTTTATTTCGTGCACTTTAACAATCTCTAACCTATCCTTTCTGGATCCTTTTCCTTTATTTTGGTGTGCATTAGTTCTTTCTCTTTACCGGAGTTTGTGGCAGAGGTTCAGGAAGCAATCAAGCCTGTGCTTAATGCTTACATGAAGGTGAATATGGAGCTTTGAAAATCTGGTTTACCTTCTCTTCTGTTCTAATTTTAAGTTCTGTTTTAAAATATTTTGTAACTTTGAAACATGTCAGCTACTTATTAATGAAAGAAATATTTGATACATGCAGGGAGATGTCGAGACCTTGAAGAACTATTGTAGCCCTGAAGTTATTGAAAGGTGTAAAGCAGAGCATAATGCCTATCAAAGCCATGGTATATTTTTTGATAACAAGGTAAGAATGTTATCTTTTTGTTGAGAAAATGTAAGCATTATGCTATTTAGTTTTAACAATCTGATTTCTGTATCTATTTTATCTCTTGTTTCTGGAATTTTATCTTTTCTCATTTGACAGCATTACCCTTCTTTTTTCATTCTAATATCATAAGAGGTAAACTTTAGTAAACAAAATGTTGTAAAACAATCAGATTCCTGATTGCAGGGACTGGTTTGTTTTCAAATTTCACGCTGGATGATATTCTTGGTGTAAAGTGGTGATATTAATTTTTGGGTTTTCTTGCTACAGATTCTCCATATTTCTGATGTAGAAGTTAGAGAGACCAAAATGATGGGAACCTCCCCCATCATTATAGTGGCGGTACAAGTTCTTTCTTTACTTTCTCTCCGAACTTGATTATAAGCATATTGAGGTCTTAGGTCTTGCTTTCGAAGACATGCTAATGCTATTGGCCAATTGTCCTTGAAATGTCTCCAGTTCCAAACACAACAAGTCTACTGTGTGCGTGATAGAGAAGGTTCAATAAAAGAAGGTGGGAAGGTAAGTAATGTGATATTTTTCCTTGTTTGTAGCCTATATTTGAACAATTATCCACTTTCACATTTTCTGTTTCCTTTTATAACATGTGAGACTAAATTTCTAGCTGTTTTAATTAAAAATAAGAAAATGAAACTTGTGTTCAGAACTGCTTTTCTTTCCTATCATTGCTTTGAATAGGATGCCAGTTACCTTCCAAAATCTCAGAAGTTAAACTCTTTTATCTTTTTTGCAGCTCTTAGTCAGAAGTTAAACTTGGTTTTTTTCTGAATTTTATTTTCTTCACAGGACACAATCCACACCGTATATTATGCTTGGGCCATGCAACAAGTGGATGCGGAAGAACTCGGAGAAGGTGCGCTTTATCCAATATGGAAGCTTAGAGAAATGCAACAAATGGGTGTGCAAGCCCTTATCTAGACTTTCAATGTCCGGAGCCCATCTTGTTAGTGGGTTGTATGTTTTCAATATTACTTATGTTTATTATTTATGTTAAGTTGCTCCTTTTTTGTTAGTTCTTCTCGAAAATTGTAGCTGATATACAATTTTTTTTAAAATTGTTTTAGTGAAATAAAGAAATATTCCGCCAATTGGATTAATTTAAGGGGGATACTTTTTTAATTTGTCTGAGTAACAGAGTTGTTGCAGTTGAATCTATACCGGCAATGGATGTCACAAGGTGCATGTTTGCTTTCTGGTTCTGGTGGAATTTTTGTTCTTCATCGTTGTTGTAGGTACCAGTTGTGCTTTGATCAGAAAAGAACTTGAATTGGTAAACTGAATTGTGATGGTGCTCAGAAGACAACAGATCGAAACATCAAAATGGCAATGTTTTATTGATGATTATTCCAGAATGCTGTTGAAGCATTCTGAATAATGCTAGAGATATTTCATTTTTCTGCCCCATAGCGGGGAGCGCAGCTGGAACGGTACTGATTCTGCCAGAACCTTGGTAGAAGATACCAGCATAATTAGGCCCTTACTCTACTTGTGGTGTAGGGTAATAGTGAAAAGGGAGGTCAATTTGGAGGGGAAAAGGGGATCAAACTCTGAAACTCCTAACCTCATGATAATCAACTGAAGGTTTACGTGGTTATGGCCAGTTGAGCTATAGTAGTGGCTAAGATTAATTTAGATTTTAGAATATATATAGGTTTAAACTACAGAATCATCTCTTAAGTTAGCTGCTTAATCTTGCAAATGTTCCAATATCTAATTATTTACTCTTCTTTTTTTTTTTTGTTTTTTTAATCTCATGATTATTCAATTTAAGATAGCACTCTATTTTTCAAAATTTTTCCTACTTATTTTAAAACTTTAACTTGAAATTTTTAATATAAAATCTCAAATTCTTAAACACTAAGTTATTCCTAAAGCATAATTCTTATTCTTATTGACTTAATATTAAATTGAGATTTTATATTCAATAAAATACCAACTCACGACTCAACTAAACTTATATGGGTAACTTTAGAATCTATCTACAAGAGAATAATGGACCCTTGTTTTCTTGTAAACTTTTAAATTCTACGCAACCGTAGAATCTTTCTGTACAAGTTGGGAAATGAAAAGGCAGAATATATACATAGATTGTATTACCGCAAATTGAGTGGAGAAACAGCAAAAATAAGAAAAGGTAATTCGGTCTAATATATTTGATATATGAGATGCAGAGATACCTTGGGGAACTACTATATGGTTTCTTTTTCTTTTTTTACATAAAATAGCTGCCTTTTAATAACAGAAGGAATAAGGACGTAGAACAGGCCCATAAAATCATCCAAGATTCTGCTTGAGATAAACCAAAGAATCTGAATACAGGTGCGTTCTAAGCATTTAGTAATTACTACTTGCTTTGATCATCTCTTCAACCACTCATATAGGGTTAAGAAATTTAAGAAGAAATTATTTTCTCATACTTTTTAAAAGGAACAGGCTAAATACAAATACATATATTTATTGAATCAATTCTTTGTAATTGAAAATTTAAAAAATTAAACTACACAACATAAGTTATAAGATAAAGAAGTTCTTTCAATGTAAGAATAAAATTTTATTCAATGATTTGTGTTTTGTAAGCAGGTATAATTTTTACTGGCAAAATATTCTTTGAGAAATGAGACTGCTTTTTACCTACTAATATTTGATGAATTCCCTTGGGACAATATCGTTAGCGTAAGACCTAAGCTGAGACCACAGAGTTTCACCCAAAGAATAACTGAATAAGAATCACTCAAATAATATAAAAACGTTTGCATGCAAAAAGATTCAAACTTACCTGTCTATCCATCCATACTATAAAAGAATACAACGATTTCACCCTCCTCTGCAAATCCCAACCTCCATGTCTTGCCTAAGTATAAGGCTTCCACCGGCCAAGAAGGCATGGAAGAGCTTCACCACCAAACTCCAAACCAAGCTGCACAAACTCCATAAATCCAGAACCATCAAAAAGCCACCCAAGAACAGGCTCAAAGGAACAGCCTCGAAACCAACCAATCCATATCTGATCTTAGTGGGGAGGCGTCTTAAACGTAAAAGCTACCGTGCTCTACCTGCTGGCCTCCAACGCTGCCACTTATTGAAAGCCAAAGCTGAAGCTGTGTATATTGATAAACTCTTCAAAGAAACTGTCCCTCAGCTGGTTGAGCATGCAGAGGTGGAGCCAAGGCCAGCAAAGCTGGCCAAAGAGATTGAGGCGGATGATCAGCCGGTGGCCACAGCCCCTGGAACGAGTGAGGGAGGTCTTGAAGAAGCACCTCCGGCTGCGGATGATGTTTGGGAGTCAATAGGATTAGCGTCTCCCCTGATGCAGGGGATAGATGAAAGAGCAGAGGAATTTATTACAAGGTTCCGTGCAGAGATGGAGCTTCAAGAAATTATGGCCCGTAATTTGTAGCGATTATCAATGCATTTGTAATGAATAAATTGTACAAGAATAAATTCGATATTTAGAATTAAACTTACAAGTTAAATTGATGAAACATCAAGGGTAGGGTTTGGTTCGAGGAAAACATATGAGAGGGACGAGGGTGTAGGGATGAATTTTTTTTATCAATCAAATTGTAACATTGACTAACGTAATAAAAAAAATCATTATCTCCTTCCCTTGATTTATCTCAAATCAAACGTACTCTAAAAAAGCTGCTGATGACTACTTCTATTCCTCTGCTTCATCTCCTTCGTTCTCACCAGAAATCTCTTCTAAAGATTTCCCTTTGGATTCGGGCACCAGGAAAGTGAAAAGGAAACCCAAGGCGTTGATTACACCCAATACAATCAGGGAATTCTTCACTCCGATGCCTGCAGGATATCCTGTATCCGCCTTGGCCTTGTCTTGATTCTGAGCTAAATACAAGAACCCGAATGCACCCACGATGGCGCCTAGCTTTCCAGCTGCTGCCGATATGCCATGGCAAGTGGACCTGAACCTCGCTGGAAAAATCTCTGCCGGGACGACGAAGGTGGTGGCGTTGGGTCCGAAGTTGGCGAAGAAGAATGTTAGTGAGTACATCACCACGAACCCAATTCGGTTCTCTTTATGGGTCCAGTGGTCGTATGGGATGGCGAGGGCGAACATGAACACTGTCATGAAGAAGAAACCCATCAGTTGGATCGCGAACCTTCCAATTATGTCGATGAAAGCCACCGTGAACCAGTAACCGGGGACGGTGCTGCAGAGGGCAATTAAGGTTTGGGCCCTTGCGATTTTGAAAACTTCTTCAATTGCACTCATGGACTTAGCCGGAGGAATCCATCCGATGGCGCTGAAGATGTCTTTTTGGAAAAGGTTTTGACTGTAGAATGCGATGTCAAGTAAGAACCAAGTGGTGGTCGTTCCGAGCAAGTGAAGTCCATGGATGCGGAAGAACTCTCCGGAGAATAACCCAAATTGAGATTTTTCCTGTGTTAAATTCTTTATCTTCTGCGGCTCTGCTTCAATGTCCATATTCAGGACCTTCGACATATCCGACGCAGCCTGCTCTGCATTTTTGGCAACCAGAGCAGTGTACCGGGCGGTTTCCGGCATCTTCATTCGCCAGTAGTAAGTGAGAGCTGCCGGGAAAGCTCCGAAAATTAAGATGATCCGCCAAACGTAGTCTGTTTCAGGAACCATCGAGGCCTGTGGACTGACTTCATAAGGCGGCGCATGAAATCTAGCCTGGAAAGCGGAGGAAACAATAATAGCAAAGAAACCACCGGCCAAAATTCCAAGCCCCTGCATTGCAAATACGGCCGCAATGAACGCTCCGCGAGTCTTCTTGTTGGCGTATTCCGACATTATAGTGGCGGAGAGCGGGTAATCGCCGCCAATCCCGAATCCAAGCCAGAATCGGAAGAAGCAGAGGGTGGCCATGACGGCTTTCCGGTCATGACCAAAAGAGAGACCGGAGGCAATTGAACAGACGACCATGAGCATTAGCGTCATACCGTAGACCTTCTTCCGGCCGAGCTTGTCACCGAGCCAGCCAAAGAAGAGTTGCCCTGATAGTGTTCCGCAGAATGCAACGCCGTTCACGGCAGCGGACACATTGGGAGGCAAGGATCCGGGCTTAGGTGCACCATCGACATGGTAGTATATGCGGCCTAATAATTTGGTAACAAGGGATATGCAGAAGAGATCGTATGCGTCGGTGAAGAATCCCATTCCGGCAATTATGATCGCCGTGAAATGGTACCATTGTGTTTTGGCAGCATCAAGCGCGTTTAGCACCTCTAATTGCTCCTTCGCCATTTTTTTCCTAAAACCTTAATAATTTTCTCTGCAAAAACTAAATTTATTACGTAAAAAAAAAAATGAAATCTAGCTGCTTTAAATATAATCTATAATCTAAAACTATGTCATTTTGAAGTTCAATTTCAATAACAAATAACCAGCTAACTCACGAGTTTAAAATTTAGTTGATAATAACATTTTAGCATATAAGTGGGGCAATTAAAAAGATTAAAATACAAATATTGCATTAAATAAAGTATAAAATTATATTATTTAAAAATTTTAATATCCTAATAAAAATTAAATAAGTCTACGAATGCCAAAATTTAAAATCTAGTTTTTTTTTTCTATAAAAATATATGATTTGCATTAAACTTCTACATCACCGAGAAGTTAACCTCCAATGTTAAAATGAAAAAAAGTGTATGATCTATATACTCTATTAACATAAAAGTTGATGTCAAGGCTAAGTATGGTTCAAGAAAAAAGTTCACCTGATGGAAGTGGGAGAGTTATTTCCACGAAAGCGTTTTGGAGACAGAGAAGGGAGAAGAAAAGCAGTCGTCTAAGATGGGAATGAATGCATGAATGAATAAATAAGAAGAGAGTGGAGAAATGAGGGGAGATAATTAGTTAGTTCGTGGAGGAAGAAGAGAGGAATGCAAGATCTACGCAGTCCCACACGTTGCACAAGAATATTCCCCTTCTTGTTATTAGCTCAGTCAATTCAACCCCGCTTCCTCCTCCTCCCTCTTAAGGCCTGGATGGACAACTCGACCCATGATCTAAGGCCTAGATCTGCAATACCATGTTGGGAGATTAGGAGATGGGCATTGTAAATAGTTTGGGCTCTGGGTCCAGATAGATGCCCAATGGAAGAATATATCAATAGCAATTTTATTTTATTTTATTTTTGGTTAAATCCCCATTTTGGTCCCTAAACTATTGTACAGACCTCTCATTTGATCCTTAAACTAAATAAATTCCTCATTTGATCCCTAAACTATTATACAGACCCCCAATTTGGTCCCCACTGTTTATAATTTGGGTTAAGTTGGTCTTGGAACTATTGTACGAACCCTCAATTTGGTCCTTATTGTTTACAATTTCGTCTCAATTTGGTCCATGAGTTATTATTTAACAGAAAGACTAAGTTGGGGTTAAATTGGTAAACAATAGGGATCAAATTGGGGATCCGTATAATAGTTTAAGGACTAACTCGGGGAGCCGTACAATAGTTTAGGGACCAACTTAGGGGTCCGTACAATAGTTCAAGGACCAAATTAGGGATTTCTTTAGTTTAGGGATCAAATCGGTGGTCCTTACAATTGTTCAGGGACCAAAATAGGGGTTTAACCTTTATTTTTAAGATGGAAATCATGTTTTACAATTAAAACTTAAAATATGGATTATTAGAGTAAAGAAGACTTAAATATTAAAAAATTCACATCTTATTTAATAATTAGTATATTTTAATTTAGTACAATTTAAATTGCACTACAGTTTTTTGTTTCAAGATAAAGCAATTAAACAACACAGTTACACAAACATTTGATCAGGTGGGAAAATTTAAAATTCCCCTACAAAGCATTAAACCTTGATGAATATGTCGCTATTGTTTAACATCACTGGTGGAACGTTGCGCAGAATAAACAACCCCATTTGATTATGACATGAAATGAAGGTTTTCTTTCGCAGGGGTGGAGTCCTGACCTCTTTTATTTCAATATTTAGTTTTTAACCAATATTTTTGGTACATTTTAAATACACGTAGTAAACTTGCATGCCTGCATATAAGGGAATTGAACCCAGCTCTCGGCTTCTAAATCCTTAATAAACGTTTCACTGGAGATTTTATTTACAATATTTGTTTGAATATGTAGGATGCCTTTTTTTTTTTTTTTTTCAATAGCGTGTTTTCATATCAGCTTGTGGGATTTTTGAGACTAATCCCTTCATAATTTTGTTAAAGACACTTGTTGAAATTAGAGAATTTATAAAAAATTATCTCTTTTTTTTATTTCTTTAAAATCAAAGAATCAAACTTTGTTCAATAAGATAGAAAGTAAACTCTTCAACTAACTAAGAAAACATTTTGGATTAATGTATAATGTGCATTGGAAGAGTCCAAATTTAAAATTTTTCTGATGAAGAAGTTTCTAATATGAGGAGAAAATTAAGTGAGAGAAAGGAAGATACGATATTATGTGATTTGAAAACATCATGATATATCAAGTCCCCTAGTTCATGGTACAAAAAAAGCCTTGTGCTTTGTACATTTATTTTTCTTCATTTTTTTCTTAGATATGACCAACCCTATTTTAGGGTGAGGGATACATAATATAAAAAAATAACAATTAATTGAAAATCTTGCTATTAATGAGATTACAATTAACATCAAATCCTTAAAATCAATCAATTCAATTGATTACTATGATTTGATCAATTTTCATAATGGCATGACATTCCTCCCTTCTACCATTGAATCATATTCTTTCTTTCTTTTATATTAGAATCAATCATATTATAATTTGATCTGTTGGAGCATGAAGATGTTAATTTGAGTATGCAACTTGCTTGTAAGTTACCTCTAAGGGCTTGTAGAGAGAACTCTAGAAAATGATCAAATGGTCTCCTCTAGTCTCTTTTGTCCTGTAAGAAAGTAGAAGTTTATGTCTCTCTTGTTTTTTGTATTTTTTTTCAAAGGAAAGATGGGAAAATAGAAGGGTGGGAAAAAAAAGAAAAAAAAAGAAAGAAAGATAGAAATGAAACTTGACTTAACTTTTATTTGAAAAATTGAGTATAGTCCTAGAAATCTATAATTGGAAAAAAAAAGGGTGAAAAAATGATAGAATGAAACTTTACTCAACTTTTACTTGGAAAATTGATTGTAGTCTTGGAAATCTCTAATAATAGAAATCTCATGATAACGTAGTAATCATATAAACAAGATAAAAAATAAATGAGAAAAAAAGATACGGTATGACATGTTTCGATATGACATGCTTCGATATAGTGCCATGATAAAAGTCTCTCTGGACTTTGCACATTTATTTTTTTTTATTTTTTAATATGAGTAACCCTTTATTTGCAGGGTGAGAGGTACATAATATAAAAAAATAACAATTAATTGAAAATCCTCTTATTAATGAAATTACAATTAATATCAAATCCTTAAAATCAATCAATTAATAAATTAATTTCTCATGATTTAATCGATCTTCGTAATGACATGATATTCTTTCATTCTATAATTGGATCATATTCTTTCTTCCTTTTATATGAGGATCAATTTGATCCTCTTTATCAAACACAGTCAGTATCTTTAAAATTTAACAAAAACACAAATCTGAACAAAAAAGCAGAAAGCAGAAACCAACAATATGAAATGCAGAACACTAACAATTTCATATGTAAGGTAACATCACTCCATGGTTCTCGGAGATAACAAGTAGCTCACAACAACATTAATTAAAAGCGAAAGAACACACAACGCAACAAGTTACCTGGTTAGAAATTAAAAGACACAAGACTTCAATTTGGTCAACAATCTAGCTTCAAATTGACCAGCAGCTAATTCGGCTACCGCCAAGAACGGCTCTCTTATTCCTAGACTCGTCATGCTCATGCCTTATGTCCTACAAAACAGTCTTTTCTCGTAAGTATATATACATTAAGGAGATGTTTGTCAAGAACGGCTCTCTTATTCACCCAGGAAATTCTTTGTGGTCTTGTGGAGCAATGGAAATTAGAAAGGAGATGTTTGTCAAAAATTAAGGTTTAATTAAAACTCATATACCTTAGTCTCTGTATACGGGCCACCAGTTCTCATGAAGCTCAAACTCGACTAATTTTGCTTTGGGAGGTGGGTTCAATGCTGCAATGACTTCCTCTCTATCCAATTCCTCTTTCGAATCTAAATTGAAATCCACCAAACGTGTCTTCTTCTCAAGTTTGGCTCGACTGGCCTCCCTGGAATCTAATGAATTTCCTTTCAGCACCATCCAAAGACCGAGAAGTTGGTCCAAATTTTCCAGGTCCCCAAGACTGAATTCTTTAGGGTCATTTCTGTCAGCTCTGACAATGAGCCCATATAAATTCCTAAGCTGTGTCAATATCCCAACCCCCTTGGGATAGGAAGTTAGACTGTCACAATTTATAGTCCGCAGATATCTCAAGTTGATCAAATTTTCAATTCCATCTGGTAATTTCTCAAGACCACTGCACTCATTAAGATCCAAATATTGCAGAAAAGGTATTTCACAGATTGATTCAGGCAGCCTTTTTACTTTCCGAAACTCAGAAAAGTTAAGGTGCCTCAAATGGATCATTCTCCCTATTTCACTTGGAATAATTGATCCCTTAAAATGACCGTTGTATGTGTCAGGCCAAGTCACATCCAACACCCTTAGAGCCTTAGCCCGATTGAAGAAGATGCGCAAGGCTTCTTCTGTTACGGTGTCCTCTCCAGAAAAGGCAAAGAGACTGCGCAGCTTTTCAGCACCCTGAATGGAAGTTGGGAAAGAGACGCCCTTTGCAAGCACCACTGCCAACTGACGAGTTTTTCTGACAGACACATCTATATTTGAATTTAAATTTTTTGTTGAATCTGCTTCCAAATCAATCTTTGAATTTGCTGAATTTAGCTCCTTGATCACAATTTCATTGCTTGCCAAAAACAAGGCAAAGTCATGCACCAAGTCATGCAGCTTGCATACGTATATACTACCATTCGAATCAAATGCACTATCTTGGAAGAAGGAGCGAGAAGCTAAGAAATCAAAGTAGTCACTTCCTATTGCCTCCATGTCTTTATTGCTCTTCGACTCTAAACAACCAAGTGCCATCCAATAGTATATTATATGAGATCTCCAGAGTGGAGAGTCTTTGGGGTAAACTGCACAATGCAAGAAACATCGCTTTATTGGTGAGGGTAGATCATTATAACTTAGCAGTAGAGGAGCAAAAATTTCTTTATGTGCAATTTCTAACTCCCAGATCTCACTATTCAAGATCTCTTCCCAATCATCTTTTCTTCCCTTAGATCGTAGGAGGCTTCCAAGAGTCTTGGCAATGAGCGGCAAACCCTTACACTTGACTGAAATTTTCTTCCCAATCTCCTCCAAATTTTCACGCTCTTTCTCATTTGTTCCAGTAAATGCTAAACTACAGAGTATCATCCAACAGTACTCATCAGATAGCTTCTCCAGACGAAAGACATGAGAGTACTTCATCATATTTGCCACTGTCTCTTTACGAGTAGTTATTAGAATCCTACTGCCTGAGGCACCCTTTTTGAAAGTATGTATCAGTCTTTCCCATTCTTTCCAGTTATCTGCCCACACATCATCCAAAACAAGAAAGAACTTCTTCCCCTCAATAGAGCTACAAATTCTACCAAGAAGTTCTTCCATTGAAATTGGATCACTGATATTTTCTTTGAGACCTTCAAGTCTCTTAACGATTTCTTTGGCAACTCTCTTCTCATAAAAAATATCCGAGGCACACACCCAAATTCTTTCAGCAAAATGCTTCTTAACTTCACCATCGTTGACCACAAGTTGAGCAAGGGCTGTCTTACCCACCCCACCCATCCCTACAACAGAGATGGTTTTAAGTTCACTCCCTTCTTCTCCTGACTTACAGAGCAAACTGCTTATAATGTCATCCTTAACCGCATCTCGACCAAATATCTCTGACACATCAACAAAAGAAGTAGTCTCCCGTAGAGGCTGTTGTTCCATATCTGGCTTTATTACTAAGTTACAATCATACCTTTCTTCTAGGTTATAATTAGCTTTCTGCTTAGCAATCTCATCTAGTCTTCCATTGATTTCTTTTATTCTGGAAGCAATTTCATTACACCGTACAAGTTTGCCAGGATGAAAACAAGAGGTGAGGCAGGACCATACCTTTGCCTTAAGAGTAGAAGTTTTTCCATCTTCATCAGTACAAGACTTGAGAAGTTGAGCGTTCCACTCGTCCAAGACATCCTCTATGTCATACGCTGCTTCCTTGAGCTGATCTAGCCAAACTTGAATAGATCTGTTAGTCATCTGTTTTTCCTCAGCATCGGCAAGGACAGCATGGATGGCCATAAGGTTGCACCTAAGCTTTTGGACTTCATTTTTCACATTTGTCAGCAGCCTCACCCTTTTTTGCACTACGTCAGTGGTGATTGTTAGTAGTTGCTCTATGATTGCAGAAACGAGTGCATCTGCCATTTCTAGAGGAATGACTCAAACAGAAGAACTGTTGATTAGCAAAACTGTGCTGTAAGTCCGTAACTTTTAGTATTTTAACAGAAAATGTTGGAGTTGTGGTGTCAAAGCTGCAACACAGTGGCAGCAAATGAAAAGAAGTGAGAGCTGCAACAACAGCACAGTAACAGCCAGGTGACAGCCACATGGAGTTGCATAAATTAGTCAATGTGTTTGGTAGAGAAACTTATTGTATTTGGTAGAAATTAATGTTTATGTATTATGAGGTTTCTGCCATATAATGGTAGGAGATGAATGAAAGAAATTGAGTTTTCACCTCACCAAAAGAGGGAACTATGGGTGTCTCTCCTCCACCAAGTCCCCTCTGAACCCCTTTTTTACCACCAAACCTCCAGCAGAAAATGATCTTGCTTTTTATCTACTAATTTTTAACGGATTCCCTTGGGACAATTGTTGGTAGAAAGTCCAACCCAACACATGGACTTTTCATGTGATGAAATTTCTTCACCAATCTAGTTAGTTGTGGGCTAACATTTGCTTTGTTGAAATCATATCAGATTGCATATTAACTCATTTAATGGGCAAAGAAAAATGGTGCATGGGTGGTTGGATTTTTCACTATAAATACCCACGCATGCAAAGGCAATGATAAAGCAAGAGTAAGTGAAAGCAAGTGTGAGAGCTAGACCTGATAAACGGTCGGGTTGGGTTCGGGTCGGGTCAACTCGAGTGATGGGTTATACGGGTTGGGTTATAAATGAATTGCGAGTTGAAAAAATTCAATTTTAATATGATCGTAACGAGTTACGGGCTAATTCGTGGGTTGACTTTATTTTCATTTTTTATAATTATTTTTTGTTAATTTTATTATATACAAATAAAATTATATATATCTAAATCTAATTAAAATGTTGTGATTCATTAACACTAAACACTTTATAATTTCAATCACAAACATTTAAATTCAGAAAAAACAAAAAAGTTATAAATAATAATAAATTGATTAACAATAAAAATATTAAACGTAAAATATTTAAATTTTTTGAAAAATAAAATTTTAATTTTATAATCAT